CAGTAGATAGTTGTATGTCATAGCTGCACATCCTTCTAGTTGCTGTATGTGGGACACGGCCTCAGCATGGCCAGAGAAGCGGTGCGTCGGTGCGCACCCGGGATCCGAACCCGGGCCACCAGCAGCGGAGCGCGCGCACTTAGCCGCTAAGCCACGGGGCCGGCCCTCCCATTGCTTTTAAGCATCTCCTTTAGAGGGCAGGTGGATTTAAGGAAGAAAATTAAATGGATTTTGCTAATTGTTAGTAATTCTTGGTAAAGATTTTTTTTTGTGTGTATGAGGAAGATTAGCCCTGAGTTAACATCTGTTGCCAATCCTCCTCTTTTGTGCTGAGGAAGATTGGCCCTGGGCTAACATCTCTACTCCTCTTCCTCTACTTTATATGTGGGATACCTGCCACAGCATAGCTTGAAAAGCGATGCGTAGGTCCATGCGTGGGATCCAAACCAGTGAACCCTGGGCCGCTGAAGCAGAGTGCGTGAACTTAACCACTATGCCACTGTGCTGGCCCCTTGCTAAAGATTTTTTTGGGGGGAAGAATATGGAATTTTAATGGCTGTTCCGTGAGATTTTTCTATTTAAGGATTTCTAGTTAGGAGTTATGCTTTTCTTTCCTCTTACTATTGGTAATTAAATATTGTTTCATTCACACTTCATTGATAGCTCTTGCCCATTCTGTTTTGTTTACATTTCTATTGCCATCTCGAGACAGTTCTTCAAGAATAGAAAACCTTTTCTCATTCATTGTTGTTTCTCTAGCACAGAGCATGTCTGGAATGAAAGAGCTCCTCAGTAAATGTTTAATAAATAAATGAATGAACTGGTTATAATATATATTTTATCATTCTTTTTAGAATTGCTTCAATTCTCCATAAACATTTGGATAGCTATAAACCAATAGAGTTATTGAAGATAACTCAAGCATTGATTTTTCTACATTTTCAAAGTAAAGAGCTTTTTGTGAAACTCAGAGAATTACTACTTAGGTAAGATTAAAATAGAAGTTTTGTTTAGTCTTTTATTTTGTAATCTAGCCTCAATGTTTTTCTTTAATTATGTATAGACTTGTTGAAACTTTTGGAGGCAGAATTGGGTAGCTTATTATTGAAAACATCAAGACACTTATCTCCCCCCCTGCCCATTCTGCCAATGCTTATGCTTGGTGTATTTTGAAATGGAAATGAGGCAGTAGGGTGATGAATTCCCTAAGGCGTGAATAACAGTAAAAGCCAAGCCATTCTCCTTTCCTGCAGGAATAGAATAACCACGAAGAGATTGGAGCTGCTGAACAAGGCAAAACTCCATTTGGGAGCACTCATATTTAGGGGCCTTCAGTCTGCTTGCCTGTTTTAAGGCATATTAAACTTTTTAATTTGTAATTCTTAAAATATATGAGGATAATATTAGTGAAAAAGTATTTTCATATAGAATTTTCCCTTTATAATTTAAAATTCTCTGCTTTTCTATGGATATACTGTTCATATTTCAACTAAGAAGTTATTCAGTTTTCCATGAATTTTCATTATGCTAAAATGGAGTTTTCCATTAGAAATTTTTATTTTAAAGGTTACAATAATAACTTGAGTGAAATTAAAACCAGATTAATTTTTTCCCCTCCATTTTTTTCTTGCTAGTATGATTTCTTATTGTGATTTCTGAAAGACCAGGCATGGGACTCTATGCCATAATCAAAAGATGGGCATGTAGTTGAAAATGATTTCTATTATAAAGTGATAGCCATTATGATTAAGAAGGATTTGAATTGAAAAATAAGTGGTGGCACTTTAGCGGATAAGAATTTAGCATATTAGGTGTGGTATAAAAAAGTTCACCCTTTTCTTGAATAAATAACTTTCTTCTTCTTGTCAAGGTGATTATATGCAGGATTATTGTTTCTTCACCCTTTCCATATTTAGCATAGACTTTCACATAACCCCTAAATTAAGAATTTTATGTTCTAAATTAGATATCATAAACCAGCCCAGGTAATGATTTATCTGGTCTGCACAGTTTCTTTTTTTTCTGCTGAGGAAGATTTGCCCTGAGCTAATGTCTGTTGCCGATCTTCCTCTTTTTTTGCTTGAGGAAGATTAGCCCTGAGCTAATATCTGTGCCAATCTTCCTCCACTTTATATGTGGGTCGCCGCCACAGCATGGCTGACGAGTGGTGTAGGTCCCTGCCCAGGATCCGGACCTGCGAACCTGGCCTGCTGAAGTGGAGCGTGCCAAACTTAACCACCAGGCCACGGGGCTGGCCCTTGCACAGTGTTTTTAAAAAAATTAAATTATACAATACTGTTTGCCTGTGGGTATGCTAACAGAAAAATAAGACAGGAGTGGGAGTGTCAAAGGGGATTTCATTTTATCTGTAATATTTTATTTCCTTTGTAAAAAGACTAGAAGCAAATATGACAATGTTGAAGCTTAGTAATTCTGAGTAGTGAGAGCCCTTATATATCTCTGTAGTTTAAAATTTTATCAAAAAATTAGTTGAGAGATTTTTATATAAAATCGTAGGTGCTTATGCTTCAGAATACTCACCTTCCCCCGCTTTAGTGCAGATTCTGTGAAGGAACACAATCTAATTAAACTAGTTCACATAAGTGTTTATATAAATAGTTCCTGAAACCATTTGGGAAACCCAGGGAGTTCATGTACTGGAATAATATGTTTTTTTTTTTTTTAATGTATTGAAATAGAATCTGCATAAAATATATACATCCCCTCCTCATTACCCTTCTCCCTCCTCCTTCCCCTGCCCAGGTTAACTACTATTCCTATTTCTAAGTACATGGATTAGTTTTGCCAGTTTCGTGTCTGGCTTCTTTTGTTCAGTATTATGTTTATGAGATTTACCCATGTTTTTGCTGTATAGTATTCTCTTGTAAGAATATAGCAGAATTTTTTTATCCATTCTACTGTTGATGGATATTTGATTTATTTCCAATTTTTGGCTATTATAAATAGTGCTGTTACGAATATCCTCATACATATCTTTTAGTGAAAATATGTATGCATTTCTAAAGTGGCTGTAGCAGTTTGTATTCCCACTAGCAGAATGTGAGCATTCCTGATGCTCCACATCCTCGCCAACACTTGGTATTGTTTTATTTTCTAATTTTGTCTGTGATGGTGGTATTGTAAATAAACACACATGCATATGTAAGTTTTGGAATTTGAGGAAGTGTCATAAGGAAAAAGATCAAGTGGAGGTTGGAGAGATTGTGTGGTTGGGGGTTTATTTTTAGACAAGTATCACAAGATTGGCAAATACTGAGAGTTCTCTCCCTCGGGTCAGTTCTGCAAACAGATACAGCTTTTGGGGTCTTTCTTTTCTTTATATAAAACAATGTATTAAATTTTTGTGGTTATAAGAATAATATATTCATTTAGTATTTACTGAGTACCTACTTTGTGTCAGGCAATGGGCCCAATGTGATATAAAAATAATTTTGAGATCCTTTTGTGGTGCATGAGCATGAGGATCGGGTGTTCACACTATTGTGTGAGGTGTGCCTCCCTCAAACCTGTTATGACATTGGCACGTTACTCATCTGACATGAGACAAAAATCATTTGGAAAATAGAAAAAAGTATAAAGAAAAAAATAAAAATCATTTATAAACCCATTCATCTACTGTCAACAATTTGGTTTATTTCCTTGTGGTGTGTACTTACATACATATTTGTGTGTGTATGTATATATATATATATATATATTTTTTTTTTTTCTTTCATAGTTGAGAATCATGAACATGCAGTTCTGTATTTCCCCACCACCACCACTTAACTTTATCAGCATTTTCCCACATCATTTAAAACTATTTGTAAATGTTTTTGACTGGATACCCATCATATGACTACCTTAATTCACTTAACTATTCCCCATCATTGGGTATTACATTGTTTTCAGATTTCAGCCACATTAAAAATATGATGAATAACATAACACAAATCTTTGCCTGCATTTTAGAATATTTTCTTGGGCTAGTTTTCTACACAGGGATTGATCATGTCAAATGATATAATTACTTTTGAAGTTCTTGAGCCATACTGCTAAATTACTTTCCAGAAAGGTGACACCAACTTTTTAGGTTTACTATTAATGAATGAGAATGCCTATATCAATGCACCCTTGCTAGTGTTGAATATTATGATTATTTTAATATGCTAATTTAATATTTTAAAAAGTAACTCAATTTTGTTTTAATTTAGATTTGATTATCTCTTCCAGTACTTCTAAACCTAAAGGTTCTTTAAAAGCTCCCAGTTTTTTATTTGTATTTTAATAACCGCTGTCCTGGTGGTGGCACTCTTACCATGGGGGCTTCGGGAAAGGAGGAATAGAGAAGAGAGTCAATTGTATGTCCTGTGTTTTCTGGGTGTTTTTTAAAGTTAGACTTCTTATATAGCAGAAGAAGGGAACCAATATTATTGAGTGATCACTATATGCTAGGGCCTGTACTAGGTCATACCAGCTCCGGACAGGTCATATCAGAAATTTAGTCCAAATTCTATCTCCAGCAACAGTCCTGGAAACATTTTCCTGACACTGCCCTTTTGTTTGTCAGGGCCTATACTTTTATTTTTGCATAAAAAAATTTGGGATGTGCTTAAGGCTTCCCTTAGTAACTCTTTATGGACCTGTCATCTTAGAATTTATCTAATGCTTCTTGAATATTACATATTAAGCGTATCACACCTGTTAATTGTAATAATTATATATTCATATTTTAATACATATATTTTGGGTTTTGTTGCTGATTTATTAATTTTGTTCTTTTTTCCCTCTTTCTTGATAGTTATTTGAAAATTAGTGTTGCACCTAGTGAGATTTGCATCTTGGTCTGTGCTATTTCGATGCTTCCTTCTCCTCACCTAGATGAAGCGGGAATATCTCGAATTGAAGCAGTTTTGCCACAGTGTGACCTAGGTGACCTGAATGGTTTTGCCACATCTGTTTTAAGATGGATTCAGTATGATCACATGTATCTGGATAGTAATACTGGGAAACAGCTGAAACTACTTCAAAAATTAGATCACTATGCTCATCAGAGACTACAAAAATGCAACAATTTGAATCTGTTATGGGAAGAAATTAAATCTTTAAAAGGAGACTGGTTTGCTGATTCACTCCTTGAAGAAACAGTTGCTACTTTACAGCATTTGATGGATGAAATTAATCACAGAAATGTTGCAAGAATTGCATCTTTTATTTCTAGAACTAACTACCTCAATACTTTGCTACTTGATAGGATAGCCTCAGTGGTCATTCAGCAGATTGAAAAGGTGAAATTGAAATGTCACACATTAGTTTTATATAGTTGTCAACCTCTAGAAGCATAAATGTTTATCATAGGTACTTTGAGAACTTGATTGGAATTTGAAGTTTAAAAATTAAAGTCTAGTTTCTGGTTCAGCAGTTTATTCTCCTCCCTTAAAGCCTCTTCCTCCAGCAGTGCAGATTTGGGGAGATAAGCAGTCATCCTTTGGTTCATTGCAATGTTGTTAAGATCAGTAGTCAAAATTCATTGACTAGAAGAAAATACTTGAAACAATAGTAGTTGTATTAGGATAGTGGAGTATGAATGATTTTTGTTTTTCTTATTTTCTGTAATCCTGCGATATTACTTTTACTATTTAAAAACGACTGTATTCAAAAGTTTGAATACACTTTTTGCTATTTAAAAACAACTATATTCAAAAGCGTGCAAACTGAGAAAATTATGAGTATTTTAGGATTCTTAAATTGTCAGTGCATCTTATTACGGATTTATTTCTGGAACTTGTAAAATGCTGCTTTTTGGATTATGTGGGAAGATGCTCACTTAGAAAATCTATTATATGTGTCAGGATAAGGCTTTTAGTTAGAAGACAATATTTCTCACAGATGAAAATAAAAGTCTGTCTTTATTTGCTTAGCATAGTGCCTGACAGTTATTAAGTGTTAGATGAATGAGTGAATAATAAAATAAAAAGTGAATGAATGAAAGGAAAATGAATTCTGATGTTTATAAGAGACTTGCTTAACTATATTATTTGATGAATCTATAAATGCACTGATTTCGTGGAAATCAGTGATACTATTTCCTAGTCATTTGAATGACTAATGAATTCTGGAACAGGATTTTACACCTAACAAAATTAATTTGTAGATTATCTGATTTGTTTTTTCTGCATTAACACTTAGAGTTACTAAAAATTAGTGGTGGAATTAAATAGATTATAGCAGGGTAGAAAACTTAATAAACAGGGGGGATACATTTATCATTTAACTATGAGCATGTTCATTTAACTATAAGCATAGTAGATAAAGACTTCTACCTAAAATGATAATTAGGTTGAGTTTTGTTTTGTTTTACTAAAGTTTAAATAATAACATTTTTGTTCTGTTTATATAGATCCATCCTTTTGCGATCCTTGCTATTATTCTTCCATTCAGCATCTTGAACTATGATCCACCTCAAAGGGATGAATTTCTCAGAACTTGCATTCAACACCTTAATTCTTACCTAGGTAGGTATATTGTTTGGTAATACATTGAATGAGTAGTTCGGAGGATACTGTTGCTGCTACTCTAAGAGATATCCGTCATTTAAAGGGTAACCATGATAGCCGTGAGTTCTATACCTTAAAAAAATGTTCTGGATTTATTTTTGAAACTTTAATTATTACGAAAAATGTCAAACTTGCAGAAAAAATTGAAAGAATCAGACAAGTAGCGCCTATATACTCACTGGATAGATTCAGTAATTGTTAACATTTTATCATATTTGCTTTACTCTTTGTCTCTTTAGCTCTCTTATTTTTTGTAAGCCATTTCACAGTAAGTTGTAGGCGTTGTGATCTTTCACCCCTAATTGCTTAGGCAAACACCTCCTAAGAATAACGACCTTCCTATATCACCACCATAATGTTAATAGACCTAAGAAAATTAACAGTCCCCTAATATTTAATACACAATCCACATTTAAATCTCCCTCATTATTCCCAAAATACCTTTCAGAGTGGTTATTTTGGACCCAGCATCCAATCAAGGTTCACTTACTGCGTTAGGTTGTTATTTCTTTAGACTCTTATAGTCTAGAATGTTCTCTGTTCTTTTTTTCTTTGCTTGGGATTGACTTAGGGGAAACATTTTTTTTTTCTAACTTTTTGTTACCTAAGTTATCAAAGACACAGAAAAATTAAAAGAACAATATAACTAACATCTGTGTACTGTATACTCAAAATCTGTACACTCAGAATTATTTGAATAATGATTAACAATTTGCCACATTTGCTCTGTGTGTGTGTGTGTGATGAACCATTTGAAGTGCCAGCCCTAAATATTTCAGGTTATAAGGACATTCTCCTATATAAGCACAATACCAGTATTACACTTAAGAAAATGAATAAGTACCATCTACTACCTATTCAGGCCATAGTCAGATTTTCCAATTGTTACCAACTTGTCTTTTTTTTTTTTTTTTATAATTTTATTTATTTATTTTTCCCCCCAAAGCCCCAGTAGATAGTTGTATGTCACAGTTGCACATCCTTCTAGCTGCTGTATGTGGGACGCGGCCTCAGCATGGCCGGAGAAGCGGTGCGTCTGTGCGCGCCCGGGATCCGAACCCGGTCTGCCAGCAGCGGAGCGCGCGCACCCAACCGCTAAGACACGGGGCCGGCCCCCAACTTGTCTTTTATAAATTTTTTTAAGCAACCAATGTTGAGTTGTTATGTCACTTTCTCCCTATCTTTTTTTCTTGATATTTATCTTTTGTAAAAGAGATTGGCCATTTATTGTGAATTATGCCACATTCTAGATTTGTCTGAGTGCTTTCTTTGAACTTGCTTCTCCATCTCCTATATTTCTAGTGTATTAGAAGTTAGGTATAGATGATTGATTAGATTCAGATAAAACATTTTCAGCAAAAATGCCTTGTATGTGGTGCTATGTACTTGAAGTTTGTATCACATCTGGAGACATATAACATCTGATTGTTTCTGTCAATTTTAATAGTTTGAGTTTTTTTTAATAGAAAACAAATATTTCTTAAGAGGCTTAGTTGTTAGAAAGGTTGCTACTCTGGTGCTAATTATTATGTGTCTGTTAAAAAAGTCTTTAAATAGTGTTTCAGTACTGGAAAAAAGTAGAATAGAAATAGTCCTTCCTACTGTTGGCCTTAGCAGAAGCAGTATGTGAGGAAAGCAGTTAGGAAGTGACTGTTTTTCCTTTTCATTCTTTATTTTGAGTCCTGAACTGTGTTTGGGACTGTTTGACCTTCAAGGAATAGGGCTTTATGGGGCTTCTCTTCTCAGACTCACACCTCTTACTTGTCAGTATGATGTGGAAGTTTTAGAAGTGAAATATCTGGCTCAGTAGTTATTGCTTTTCAGTCAACATTCACCAAGTACTTCTTGTCAGGCAATCTTCTAGTCACTGGAGATGCAGAGAGAATAAAAACAGATTCCACCATCATTGAATTTACTTTCTGGTGGGAGGAGACAGGCATAAACAATAAATAAATATATACGGTCAGGTGGTGATAAGTATTCAAGAACATTAGAGCAGGGTAAGTGTGTAGGATGGAACATAGTGGGGTGGGTGAGATGGAGTGCCCTTTAGATAAGGGTATCAGGGACCACCTCTGAGGAGATGTCATTTGACCATGGATTGAATGAATTGAGAGTGATCCATGGCAATAGGTGAGGAAGAGAATCTCAGGACTAAGAAAGCAAGTACAAAGGCCCTGAGGTGAGAACATCCTTGATTTCTTCCAGGAACAGCAGATTTATTGTGGTAGGAGTGGAGTGAGGGAGACTGAGTAGGTAGGAGAAGAGGTTGGAAAGACAGCCAGAGACTAGTTTCCTCGGATCTTTTTGCTGTGCCTAGAGAGTAAGAAATACCCAGTCTGCCATCCACCAGAATACTTAACTGAGAGCTTCCATGTCCAGCAGAAGGCATTAGGCTATACATTAGGGTATGTTTCTCTAGACCTATAGACCTCTAATTAGGCTGGTGAGAGACCAGTATAAATACGTTAATTATGGCACTGTCATGCTCGTGGACTTTGCTACATTTTTGTGGGATCCATGGGCCAGATAGTGTCTAAGCATGTCTATTACTGTGTCTCTAATAGACAAGTAAAATGGGACTGTGTTGTGTCTATGTTTGTTTATGTGTGGGTGTATGCATGTGTGGCATTCCTATATGCCCCTTTTTATTTATTTATTTATTTTCCCCCCAAAGCCCCAGTAGATAGTTGTATGTCATAGCTGCACATCCTTCTAGTTGCTGTATGTGGGACGCCGCCTCAGCATGGCCAGACAAGTGGTGCGTTGGTGCGCGCCCAGGGTCCGAACCCAGGCTGCTAGCAGCGGAGTGCGCGCACTTAACCGCTAAGCCACAGGGCTGGCCCTATACCCCTTTTTAGTAACAAAACTATATGTAGAAAGATAAGACTTAGAGTATGCTCTCCTGATTGTTCAGTCATGTATCGCAACCAGAAGGAAATGAAAGTACATCCTTTTTTTTTTTTTAATAAAGAGTATAAGAGAAGAAAGGTTAAGAAGTACAGCTTTG